TTTTTCCTCTTGGGACCTTTTCGAGTTAGAGACAAGCAAAGAAACAGGGTGCAGGAGAACCGAGCTCAGCTCTTCAGAGGGGCTGCCCACACCCACTGAGTCACTCATAATGGCCTCTCGGATGTCATTTTCTTGCTAAGACATTAGGAAAATTTTCTGCTCCTGAATCATAAGCAAACACTGCAATTCAACAATCTTCTCTTGAGTTATTCAAGGAACTTCAGTGCATCCGAAGTGGAGAATCAGGGGCGGGTGAAATCAATGAGAGCCCTGAGTGCTGTTGTGCTCCACATTAAATTTCATTTGCCAAGTGGGAGTCGGGGAGTTCCATCTGACCCCTGGGGACAGCTCCTGGGGGGAGGGGAAGTCTGTAAGTGGCTGATTGGGGTCATGAGTGTGACACTGCTGTTTTCTTATCTTCTTGGTTCCATTCCCATAATAGACCCCAGAGTCATGCAGGAAAAGGTTTGCTACAGCCATCTTCTTGTGGCCTGCTGATTGTGAGAGCCAGCAGGGGAAGGCGGTGCGGGGGAAGGGCTGTCTGTCCCTGTTTAGGAATCTCAGTGTCTCTGCTTGGCGTCCCACCTTGCATGCTACAAAGAGGGCCACCTCTTTTGCCCTCCGTGCCCCCTGGAGCAGCATCGGGTAAAACTTTGCACCTGAACTCAGTCATTGCTAACCTACCCTTGCCATCTCTCTCCCCAGGGGCCGGAGAATGGCTTTGTCATTCATTGCAGAGGGCTACGCTTCATCACTCGCCACAGTTCAGGGCTAAGGGGTCACTTTTAGACTGGCAAGGGATCAGACCTGAGGGCAACACCGTCCTCTCTGAGGAATACTGCTCACCTGCATCTTGAACAGCGAGCCTCCACTGGTCTGAGAGGTTGTCATACATTCACCACTTGACTGGCATATAACAAACTGGAAATTGAAAGCTCTTTCCCTAGGAAAACAGGTGCCCTCCTAAGCGAGGGGCTGAGATATGATGACCCTCTTTTCACAAGTTCTATGTGTGTATTCCTAACCCTGGCAGTACAACTCAGTGCTCCGTTTCCCTGAGCATCAAGGGTGGCCAGGAGGCTTCGTCTACAGGTAGTATCCATTCAGACAGCTGCATGCCATCCTCTAGGGAACCTTGAAACACCTCTGAAGTGTTGGGGTTGGTCATACTGCTAACTGCTCAAAGTCTTGTGGCTTTGAGACTGTACATCCATTTTTTTGCAGATGAAAAAAATTTTCAGCCAGGGAGAAGATGGGCCCCTCTCAGGGGCAGCCCTGGGGGCCTGCCAGCCCTCTCCTGCCCAGCATCTGCCTCCGCCCCAGCCTCCCTGCAGCCAGCATCCAAAGTTGAGCACTGGGCCGAGACTGAATAAACACTGCTGATGATACAGGAATCAAAGCAAACAAGGCCTCTCTTTTTGCCAACTGCCCCATTAACAGAAAAGCCTTTTAAGGGCCCATCTGGAAGCCAGGCTTTTCCCTCCCTGAGCAAACTGAGATGACCAAGAGGAATGTGCTCAAGTAAGGGCTGCTCCAGGGGGACCCAAGCACACTGGGTCCTGGTCATACAGCGAAGAATGAACACAGGGAGATCAAAAAGGGTCGTTGGAGCCAGCGCTGAGGTCCACACAGCAAGGCAGCATGCAGCCACACGGGCCCCTTTCAAGGCTTCTTGCACAGAGGCCAGGGCCACCACGGACATGGCTTCCCACAATAGCTCACTGTGGCCGTTCCCCGCCCCGCTGAGCCTGATGGCCAAGTCTCTTGGAACACTTTCTACTTTCAACTTAGACCACCTCTCAGGGGGTGGAGGAAAGCGTCCTTGAGCTCTGTGTCCCTACCCACCATTACAAGGGCACACTCCTGAAAGAACACATTATGGGATTTAAGGAACCCTGCCGCTCTGAGCCCGGCTACACAAACTCGACCAACTGTTGTCGAGCACTTACTGGACGCTGTTGTGACCCTGTTGTGTATCGGGCACTTCAGGGCTTCAAAGCCTATGTGTGACCAGCAGTCCCTAGCTGCCATGGAGAGGCAGCATGCATCTGAGTAATTAGCAAAGAGCTGCCCACGGCCAGGGCACATTTCCACGCTCTACTCCTGAAGATGTGTGGGGCTTTGAGGGCAAGGCAGCTGCCTCTGAGCCATCAGGGTCCCAAAAGCAAAGGGACATCAAGAGTGAAGGAAAACAAGGCTGGAGACTATCCTGGCTTCTGCATTGGCCCTCTGCAGGCACTTATTTAATTCATTATGTTTTATAGATTAATTTCGTGTTGGGGGACTGGTACATGCCGCAGTGCATGCAGAAGTCAGAAGACAGCTTGTGGGAGTTGGTCCTCTCCTTCCACTGTATGAGGCCCTGGGGCTCTAGTTCACGTTGTCAGTCCTGGTGGAAGGCACCATTTCCTGCTCCTCCATTTTCCTGGCTTTTATTTATTATTTTTTGAGACAGAACTATGTTATGTAGCCAGGCGGGTCAGCCTCTAACTTGTGGTAATCCTCCTGTCTCAGCTTCGCTAAATGACAGGCTGACAGGTGTTTGTCTAAGTTGTGTGTATCTTTTATTTTCCTTTTTCATGTGTATGCATATGGCAGTGCCTGTGGGGTATATGCATGTTTTCCTATGTTTGCGTGTACATGTGTAGCACCAGGAGACTTTCTCCATTCTTCTTCCATCTTATTCTTTGAGGCAGGGTCTCTCAACCCAAACCCAGAGCTTACCAGTCTAGCTAGTCTTGCTAGCCAGTGTGCTCCATGAATTGCCTATCTCTTCCTTCCTGGGCTGGACTGCAAGTGAGTTTCCACACCCACCTTGCACTTGCCATGAGTTCTTGGGATCTGAACTATGGTCCTCTGTGCACACAGCAAGTTCTGTTGGGCTACCTCCTGAGTTTCCACAGTCTCTTTATCCTTCGGTGTCAGGTGCTTGGGACAGGAACATCTGAGACTGTGTGGTTATTCTGATTCCTGAAAAAGGCTTCAAAGCTACAGAAGTGAAGCCTATACTGACTTTGCAGAGAAGCTTCTCCTCAGCATCATCTTGATGAATTTGCTCAGTGTCCCATGCACATTGTCACTTCTGTGGTTGCATCTGACAGGCAGTGGCCAGCCTCTCATGCTCCCCAGTGGAGTGTCTCCTGTCACTCATGGGCCACTATAACACAGACAAGGCCAAGGCACAGAAGGCGGATGTGATGTTCCATCCGATATTCTCAGTCTGCATTTGGATTTGTTGGCAGCCCCAAGTTCTCCCATGATGGCAGCTCTCCTTCTGTATAATCCTGCTGGGACTGGGGTGCAGAAACAGGCACCTTGGTCAGAATGAAGAATTATGTGCTTCCTCTGGCCCTCTGGGAAGAAGGTCTCTCCCAGGGCTTCTCTTTGGTTTAGAGCCCAGGTCTTTCCACAGGCTGACTCAACTCCTGTGGAAGGAGAGGCTATTGTCCTATCTTGAACTCGTCAGTCACTTCCCTGTGCATTGGGGGGCCCATGGTGCTTAAAGAAAATTCCTTGGCCACAACCCCTGTACAGGCCCTGGGGAAACAGTGCCAAGGTTTGTTCCCATCAATGTCACTGGTAGGCAGACAGCAGGAGCATAAACTTCTAGCCTTAACTCCAGCACTGTACTCCCTTAGGTCCATAGCCCATGAGATGGCCTCTCTGGCCTGTCACAACATCAGGTTTCTGAGGTCTAATCTCTGGGAAAGAATGAGACCAGGTAGCCTAGGTTGGCCTTGAACTCACTATGTAGCCAAGGATGGTCTTGAACTTCTGATCTTCTTGCTTCCACCTGCAAGTGCTAGGATTATAGACGTGCAGCACAATGCCTGTTCTATGCACTATTGGGAATCCTATCCATGGATTTAGGCACAGAAGGCTTATTTTCTCTTAATGGTGATTTAAAAGATTTCTTCTATTTTAATTATGACTAGATGTGCATGTGTTGCGTGTGTGAGGGGGGGGGGGGGTTGTAAGTGTGCCTGTGAGTGTAGATGCCCTCAGAGGCTGAAGGTGTTAGAGTCACTGGAACTAGAGTTACAGGTGGCTGCGAGCTGCCTGACCTGGGTGCTGGACACGGAGCTCTGGTCCTCAGCAAGAGCAGTGCTCACCTGCAAGTGATGAGCCTCCCAGCCAGGAAATACCCACTTTTTGAGCTCTCAAGATATCTGTGTCACCTTTTCAGCTTTGGTCAGCTTTAAAAGAAAGCTTTATGTTATAATTATTTTACTGTTATAAGTACTGGCTGTATTTTCTATTTATTTTATTTTAGTGTGTGTGTGTGTGTGTGTGTCTGTGTCTGTGTGACTGTGTGTGTCTGCATCTGCCCCACAGCACATGCTTGGAGGCCAGAAGACAGCCTAGAGGAGCCAGCTCTCTCCACTATGTGGGTTTCAGGGCTTGAACTCCGATCGTTGGGCTTGCTGGCTATTGCCAGACTGGTACTTGTTTTACTTATTGAAGTTTGTAATGTAAGAAGGAGAACTGTCCAGCCATATTTCCAAGGCCTGAGGCTGGCTCCCAAATTGCTCTGTAGGCAGCATGGTTGAAGAGAGCAAGCCAAGCCATGGATAAGCAAAATGGTGACTTGGATAGGGAAAGCCCTTTGGAGTGGGTTCCAGCTGCCCCATTCAGCCATGGATGTCACCCCAAACTCATGGATGTCAGTGATACCAACGTAGCCCAGAGGCTATTGAGACCACGTCTGTCAAAGGGGGCCAGCTCTAGGTTCCTTCCATACAGAGGAAGCCTCAGTCCGACTCATCTAGGAAATGACTGAGCACAGCTCAAGAGATGAGAACACCCCCTCTTACCCTGACTGGAAAGCAGGGAAGGCCTAGGGTGGGACTCTAAGACAGACATGCTCTTGGGCCAATTGGGAGAACTTCTGGATGGGCTGGTCCCACCAGGACCATGAAATAAACTGTGCCCAGCTCATGCTGGTGATCCAGATTCTCCCAGACTCTGAGACCTAACTGACCCTTGGGTTCAAGGAGAGGATGCGGGAAATCGTGCACATTCAGATTGGCCAGTGTGGCAACCAGATCGGATCCAAGGTAGGAAGACCCAGAGCAGTTCACCACAGCTTGCAGCCAAACCCACAGATGTCCAGGTTCCTGGGAGGAAGCTGGGCCTCTCAGGTTTGCAAATACCTGCTAACTGGAAGGCTTATTAAAGAAGGCCTTTCTAGCAAAGCCATTAGAGTTAGAGTGTTAATTAATGTTAATTTTGCCTGTAATTACACATGTAAATGGGGTCAGCAGCCATTTTGCTTTTAGCATTTTGGAAATGAGCTTTCCACATCGAAACCCAGTCATTTGTTTCAGGCGTTTTCTGACGATTTGGGGGAATTTTTTAAAAATGTTAATTGTGTTTATTATAATTGCGTGTGTGACTATGTATGTCTGTGGTGGTGGTGGTGATGTGTGTGTGTGTGTGTGTGTGTGTGTGTGTGTGTGTGTGTGTGTGTAGGCATGGTGCCCCAGCCTGCATTTGGGAGTTGGTGGTTTCCTTCCATGCGGACCCTCAGGTCATTGGATTGGACAGCAAGCTCCTTTCCTGAACTGTCTACAAAGTGGGGCTTTCTTTTTTTTTTTTTTTTTAATTTGTGTTACTTATTTGGGAGGGTGGGTGCATGCTACTATGCATTTGTGATGATTAGAGTACAACCTGCTGGAGCTGGTTCTCTCTTTCCATCATGGGGGATCAAACTCAGGTCATTAAGCTTGGTGGCAAGCTCCTTTACCCTGCTGAGCCTTACTGGAAGGTTTTTGGTTTTTGTTTGTTTGTTTTTTATACTCTATCACTGTAGTGTCTTCCACCTCCAAAATGCTCTTTTAAAATTTTATTCTTAAGCCAGGCGTAGCGGTGCACCCCTTTAAGCCCAGCACTGAGGGAGACAGAGGCAGGTGGATCTCTGTGAGTTCAAGGTTAGCCTGGTCTACAAATAGAGTCCAGAACATCCAAGGCTACACAGAGAAACTCTGTCTTGAAAAAAAAAAAAAAAACCTAAAAATTTATTCTTTGGTCATTTCAAGGCTTACCTGGTCTACAAAGCAGTCCAGGACAGCCAGTGCTACACAGAGAAACCCTGTCTCAAAAAACAAAACCAAACAAAAAAATCTTTAACAATTTTATACACGCATACACATCTCCTCTCCTTTCTCACACTCACACAAACACATACATGTTTTTATAACTCAGTGAGTCTAGCCAGTGTTGTCTGCTAGACTCCTGATGAATCTTGGCTTGATTTGGTACAGGTAGTCAGAAATTCATGCCCCATCCAGAAGACTTTTCCCAGCATGCCTCTCTACCCGATGCCTTTTCCATTCTTTCTGCCCCCTTTTCCTCAGTGTTCTCAGAGCCATGGTCGGTGGGATGCTTATGCTACAAAGAACACTTAGTATGAAACAGAAAATTAAAAAGGAAAATACAGAGATAAATATTACAACATTCTAGCGTATGCATGAGGTTTTGTCTCTACTCTCTCCTTCCTGCTGCACTTCTGAGTGAGGCTCTTGACTCCTTCCCCTGGGCAATACCAGGAAGGCAGGTGCTGGAAGCCAGAATCGCCACTCCTGATTTTAAGATCAACAATGGAGCTCTAACACCTATGGAAAGAGCTCTCTGTGCTAATTTGAAATTAATTTCACGTGTAAGAATTATGTGTTTTAGCCGAAACATAGTTGGGAGAGCGGTAGACTGAAGAATTACGTGTTTTAAGACACCAGTATTAAAGACCTTTGTCTCTTCATAGATGTCTCACTAACAATAGTGAAAAGTAGTCTCGCTCACAGTAGAGAAAAGATGGGAGCAGGGGCCAGCAAGATGGCTCAGTGGGTAGAGAGCCTAATGACTTGAGTTTAATCCTCAAGACCCATATGATAAAAAGAGAGAGCCACTTCCTACAAGCTCCATTCTGAGCTCCACTTGTGTGCTATGGCACGATGTGTGCCCCCTACCCACAAAATAAATGTAAAAAAAAAAAAACAAAAACAAAAAAACATATCTTAAAGGTAGGGAAAACCCAAATACCTACAGATGTACAAATAGATACACAGGGCATTCTGTTTATCACTCATACAGAGAAATGTTATGCAGCTTTAAAAAGAAAAAACAAATCCAAAAAGCTTTTGGGTGTGGTGAAAGGCATGTTGTTTGAAATTTTCCTTGTCGTAATTTTGAATGCAAATTCAGTAGCATTGAGTAGATTGTGTAACTCACCATCAAGACAAAACACCTTTCAACTTATAAAATGGAAACTCTGCCGTGTTGAGGCGATTGCATTTTTCTCTCACCCCTTCCCCGACTGCTGCCGCTCTGCTTCAGGTCTCTGCACATGGCTGCCCTTCCAGACAACTTGAGAGGATCCATGTGGGAGCAGGGTTCGGGTTCCCTTCCTTTTGAGTTGAGCGATACCCCGCTGTGTGTAGGGGCCACGTAGTGTCTGACTCTGGGACTGACAATGGCTGTCTACTGTAGGGAACGCAGCTGTGAAAACTGAGGCTCTTTCTAATTTTTCTAATTTTTGTCTACTTTTACATTTTTATTCAGATCTATGTTATATCCTGAGTGTGTTCCTCCACACCAAATCTCCATTATCCTGTTTCTTTTCTGGCCAGTTTCACATCTACTTTTATCTTGTATATACTTACATGATTTTATATGGTATATAAACTCCAGGACACACACACACAAATGAGAGAAAACAGGTGATATTTGTCTTTCGGAGACCAGCTTAGTCCTCTTAATATGATGATCTCCAGTTTCCACCATTGTCTGGAAAATGACAAAACTTAGTTCTTCTTTTTGGCTCAAAACAAAACAAAACACCGAGTATGATTGCATTTCCTTTATCCAACACTTCCCTTAGGTACTGCCAGGTTGGTTTCTCTGTGCTGGGTTGCCTTGAACTGTAGGCCTTTGAGCCCTGGGGCAAACAATATCACAGCCCCCAAACCACCAGTCACCCTTAAACGGTACAGGAATCAGACCTTCCTAACCAACAGAGAAGTGGGGTGGGCAGGGGTCAGGGAGACTGCTCTGACCTTAGATGATAAGGTGGAGAGAGAGGCCCTGGGGAGGAAGTGACTGGAAGGATAGGGGATCCCCAGCCCTTGCTGCCACCGCCGCCACCTTAGGGATTGTGCCATCTGGTGGCTAGAGTCCCAGCACTGACTTCTTGGCGGGCCTGTAGGAATGTTAAGAAACATTCTAGGCTGAAGAGATGTCCTCACTGCTAAAGCTCTTGCCATGGAAGCAGGAGACCTGAATTTCGATCCCAAACTCCCACAAAGAGAGCTGGGTGTGCGCTCACGGGTTTGTAGTCCCAGGCTCTGGGGAGGCAGAGCCAGGCAGAGCCCTGGATCATAATCCATGAGCTCCAGTTCAACGAACACCTCGTCTTTAAAAGTAGGGTGAAGAGTGACTGAGGAAACACCGGACCTCAACCTCTGACCTCCACATGCATGTGCAAGCAAGTGCGTGTACCGTCAGGCACATGTGTACACACTCGTGACTACATGCACATGAACAACGCTGAGACACATTTCATCTGCACCATCTCAGAACTTCCTTGCACTTAGTCTTCTGCCCTTTAAAGCCCATTATAGCACAGCGCCTTCTTATTAGAAGTGTCGATGGGCAGAGACACCACTTACAGAGTAGGCTTGGGAAAATACCCTTGGAGATTTTGACTTCGGGGAATGTATTTTTACTGCACTTGGCTATAAGAGATTTTCTGAATGGCCTAATGAGACCATCCCGGGAGCTTCCTCTGTGTTGATAAATGCTGTGGGCTGGCAAGATGGTTCAGTGTGCTTGATGACCTGACTTCCATCCTCAGGACCTGCATGATAGAGAGAACTGACTACCATTGATTGTTTTTGCACACATTAGTAAACACACGTGTAGAAATGAATGAATGAATGAATGAATGAATTAAAAAGTAATAAAATGCTTTACTCATCAAGGTATGATGGCACACTCCTTTAATCCCCGCACTCAGGAAGCAGAGACAGGCAGATCTCTGTGATTCTGAGGCCAGCCTGGTCAACATGGTAAGTTCCAGGCCAGCCAGAACTACATAGTAAGACCCTATCTCAAACAAAACAAAACAAACAAAAACTGTATGTATGATTGGAAGTATAGAATGGTCCAAGCAGTTTCAGGACAGCTATACATAATTCTGAATTGGGATTATGACAGATGGTCAAAGCACACATTATGTCCAATTGTACAGGCTGGCTCTGGTTATAGAATTTCATGAAGAAAAATCCCCAAAGTGAAAGGAGATAGCCTCATGACATCAAATAAGGATTCAGTTTGTTTTCATTCCCTGGGATCAGCGCCTCTCCAGCTCAGACTGAGGCAAGATGAAATTTGAGTTCCCTCACCTGAACGGAACAGCTGTACTGCACCGGGTTTAATAGCAAAATCCAATTTAATGTTTTATGTGTTTGATACTTCGCTTCAGGAGTTCAGCTGCATCGAGCACAGCCTTCACAGTCACTTAGTGGACGCAAGAAGAGAAGGGATTAGGAGGACATGCTGGGCAGGGTCAGGCAGCCCCCAGCGCACCAACACCCCCATCGGGCCCTTTCTAATTTTTTTTTCTTTCTCCACCTATTTATTTATCTATCTATTTTTATGTATGTGTGAGTGTGCAAGCGCATGCAAGAGAGGGCACAGATGGCGTGGTGTGCGTGTGGAGGTCAGAGGGCAGCTCGGGGTCTCTGAACTGATTTTCCTCTTTCTGCCTACAGTTCTGGGAGGTGATTGGGGAAGAACATGGCATCGACTGTGTTGGGAGTGACTGCGGGGCTTCTGCTGTTCAGTTGGAGAGGATCAGTGTTTACTACAACGAAGCCTACGGTAGGTCTGGCTGTTGGGTTAGCACTGGCCTACCATCTGGACAGAGAAAATGACCTAAGTGTTGACAGAATGAAGTCCCTACACCAATCTGGCAGACAGGCAGGACTTCAGAATCTGGATAGCAAATGTCCTACTCCAGCATACAGGGCAGAATGAGATGCAATCACCTGTTAAAGTAACTTTAATTCATCTGATTTAATTGTCATCTCAGACTGCCTCCATCTGCTAACCTAAGCCTAGTCCTGAAGGCTTCTAGCCTTTATACAGTCTAATTTAGGCCTAGGATGCTTTCAGCCTCTGAGACTTAGTGCTGAATAAGCTCACCCTTTCTAGCTCTTTCTGAACTCTGGCTGGCTGATTCAACTCAACCGTTCTGGCTCAAAGCACCTCTCCAAGCTGACTGATTCAAACTGCCTTCTCTCAGCTTCTGATTGAATTGCTTTGCTTGGCCTCATACTAACTTTGACTAATCTTCTGGCTCCTATTCATTCTCTGGCTTGTTCTGTCTTCATTTGTGTCTAGCTTGTTCTCTCTTCAACCTTTCTCTGTAAAACTCTCCCAGTAAAACTGCCTTTGAATTCTACCAACTGAACTGCTACAAACTCAACTCCACTGCACTGCCTCTCAGCTCATTGACCCAACTGAACTGCCTGAACTCAGAGATCTGCATGCCTCTGTCTCTTGAGTGCTGGGATTAAAGGCATGTACCACCACACCTGGACCTAAGCTTTTCTTTACCTGAAAATGGCTTTATACTAGGCTGTCCCTGAGATCTGCTTGCCCCTGACTCCTGGGATTAAAGGCGTGTCTGTATTCCAGCCAGAACACAGAGACCTAGGAGATCTTTGGCTGTGATCTCTTTCCAGAGCAGCCGTGTTCTGAATTAAAATTTCTCCACAATCACCCATGCTAGCCGGTCATTCCTTACAGGAAGGATGAGAATTTATGTTCTTGGAGTTGTTGGTGAGACAATGACCCAAACACACAGTAATGAGAGAAATGAGAGAAGTGGAGTTTTTTTGTTTTGTTTTTTAAAATTTGTTTGTTTGCTTGTTTTTTTTTTTTTTTTGGACAGGGTTTCTCTGAGTAGTCATGGCTATACTGGACTCACTTTGTAAAATAGGCTGGCCTCAAACTCACAGAGCTCCTCCTGTTTCTGCTTCTTGAGTGGGATTAAAGGCTTGCGTCTCCACGCTGAGCAACAAGTAGAGTCTTAAAAAGGTGTTTTTACAAATTCATGTCATGGTGGGCTAGGTCACATATGACCATAGATATTAAAATGTCTACCTGCCAAAGACTGCTCCTTCTAGAATATTCATGGTTTTTTTTGTTTTTGTTTTTTGTTTTTTGTTTTTTTGGACCAGCATCCCAAGGATACATTTTGATGAAACATTAATTTTTAGAAAAGCAACCATATGCTGACCGTTCCTATCCCTCTGCATAGGGAAGAAGTACGTGCCCCGGGCCATCCTTGTGGACCTGGAACCCGGGACGATGGATAGCATCCGATCCAGCAGATTAGGAGCGCTCTTTCAGCCTGACAATTTTGTTCACGGTAGGTTTCCCCAGAAGCTCCTACCAGGAAGAGCTGAGGGTACCTTCCGGTGCTGCTCTGCTCACCTTACCTTTCCCCCTTCCTCGCTTCTCCTGGTTGTAAGGTAACTCGGGCGCCGGTAACAACTGGGCCAAGGGCCACTACACAGAGGGAGCAGAGCTGATCGAGAATGTCATGGACGTGGTGAGGAGGGAGAGCGAGAGCTGCGACTGCCTTCAGGGTTTCCAGATGGTGCACTCTCTAGGTGGGGGCACTGGCTCGGGCTTGGGCACCTTGCTCATGAACAAGATGAGGGAGGAGTACCCAGACCGGATCCTAAACTCCTTCAGCGTCATGCCGTCCCCCAAGGTGTCGGACACGGTGGTAGAGCCCTACAACGCCGTGCTGTCCATCCACCAGCTGATTGAGAACACCGATGCCTGTTTCTGCATCGACAACGAGGCGCTCTATGACATCTGCTTCCGCACCCTGAGGCTGACGACACCCACCTACGGGGATCTCAACCACCTAGTGTCCTTGACCATGAGTGGGATCACTACCTCACTGCGCTTTCCCGGCCAGCTCAATGCAGACCTGCGCAAGCTGGCAGTGAATATGGTACCCTTTCCTCGCCTTCACTTCTTCATGCCTGGCTTCGCTCCACTCACGGCCCAGGGTAGCCAGCAGTACCGAGCTCTCTCAGTGGCTGAGCTCACCCAACAGATGTTTGATGCCCGCAACATCATGGCTGCCTGTGACCCTCGCCGTGGCCGCTACCTGACTGTGGCTTGCATCTTCCGGGGTAAGATGTCCACTAAGGAAGTAGACCAACAGCTGCTGTCCATTCAGACGAGGAACAGCAACTGCTTCGTGGATTGGATTCCCAACAATGTCAAGGTGGCTGTTTGCGACATCCCACCTCGGGGGCTGAACATGGCAGCTACCTTCCTGGGTAACAACACAGCCATCCAAGAGCTCTTCACCAGGGTCTCTGAGCACTTCTCAGCCATGTTCAGAAGGAGAGCTTTTGTGCACTGGTACACAAGTGAAGGGATGGACATAAGCGAATTTGGGGAAGCTGAGAGTGACATCCATGACCTGGTGTCTGAGTACCAACAATTTCAAGATGCCAAAGCAGGGCTGGAGGACCGCGAAGAGGGTGGGGAGGAGGAGGAGGCACAAATGGAGACAGAAGATAAAGAATATTAGCTGTGGGAGAAGCTATAGGACAGCCACTTTCAGATGTGTCTCCTAAGATCTGTGGCTGGCCTGTAGCCCTTGGAGTCTGCCCTCACCTCGGCACAACCAAGGGGTGGGTGGAACCATGGGTGTGCGTGGTATGTGTGGTGGTGATGGCTGGTAGCAACAAGGCCTTTGCCCAAAGTTACTAGCCAGGGCTTGATAGCCAATGCATTTTTCCTTCTTCCCTTCAAAAAAGTAAGTTAATTTACTGTTAGTGAGCACCATTTCTTTCTTAATAACTGTAGGCTAGGCATGAAGTATGCGAGTTTGCCCGGAGCCCTTTGCAGCTGATGGTCCCCCTTCAATCCTTCAGCAGCGTGGTATCTAACACCTAGGGCAGCTAGGATGCTTCACAATCCTTTTTTCACAAAGCCAGCAAAGCTGGGTGTCTGAAGAGTGTGTGGGAGGTTCAGGGCCAATGGAAGTGGGAGTCCGCCTCCATGGTCTCACCGTGTAGACCTTATGTACTATTCAACAGGCTGACTGGAACAAGACAAAGGGAGGAAAGAATAGCCCTATCGCTCCTCTTGGCTCCCACCGTCCAAAAGACCAGCGAAAGCAAAGCATTCCAGTCCTCAGACCTTTGTTTCCCAGTAACTGGCTTTCAACATATTTCTGTGTTTTATGATTTTTATTAGAACTAGATGCCAGTTGTTCACTAATGATGGTCCTTGGTTTTCCTCTTAAAAGCATTTTGTGGATGCCCTTTTCATCTTCACTCAGTAATCAGCCCTGAAGCTGCTGGACAGCCTCTTGGTTCTCTGGAAAGGGCAGCAGTATGCTCAGCAACCATTTGAATGCAGGAACGTAGCCACAATGCCACAGTGTCCTCCTTAGTGACAGAGGACATGGTCTCATTAGGGCACTTTTATAGTTCGGATTAATTTGCAGAACTTGCCATAGAGGTTTGCAGGATGACACAGCTTTAAGCATTGCACAGTTGTGATCTCACATCCCAACAGGACGGAGCACACAGTTTGCCTAGGTCGGAGGTGCATGGGGTCTTCATGCTCTGCTGGAGTTATCCAGGGGCACTCAATTTGACCTCTCCAAAGGGAGTTATTTGCATGAAACTGGATTCTCACATCTTAGTTGGTCCCCATGTCCTGGGGATGGAACCCAGGGCCTTGGGGTATGCTAGTCAAGTACTGTCACCAGATACTCACTTGGGCCTCGGTTTGTAATCACCAATATTAAAGCTGGAGGGTGGATGGCATTCATATTGAGAGGAAATCAGGCCCTGTTGTTGATATGGGGCTCCTGTTTATATAATTGAAAAAAGTGTTTTAAATACTTTCCACTTTGGTGTGGACTGAGAAGCACTGTCTTGAGTGAGACATGCGCCTTTCTTCTCTTGGCTGGAGAAAACGTCCTCAGACGCTCACAGGGCTCTGCAGGAAGCAGCTGCACACGCTTACCTGCACACTTTCACTGGGAACAGACTTCAACTCCTGCTTTATAATACTGTGAAGACTTCTGTTTGTTGGGTGATAATCACTAAAATGCAAATAAACTCTACTTTAAATGAATAAGTCATTTTTTTTCCTCAGACTCCACGAATGCCTTTTCTTGGAGCCTGACCACTCACAAGAATGCATCTCACCTAACTGTTCTATATGGCACAGGTAGAGTCAATCACCAAGTGACTAAAAGCCCAGCTGGTCCCTTCAGGGGTATGGTTGCCATGGTGATACCAGTATAGCTGAAATCAACAGGAGTCATGAAATTTCAAAGCTCCCTGGATGCATTTGTTCTGTTAGTAACAAGTGTCAGGCTGGGTTACCTCATCACTTGGCAAGTTGTCCTGTGTCACTCTGAGGTGCTGGACCTGAGTCTATTTGATCCTGGTGTTTACTCAGTGATTTTGTTAGATCAGAGGTAGAGTTTCAGAATCTTTGACGGACAGTCAAATTTGCTTTTATTTGTACTTTAATCCACGTCCCACTGCTCCCCTAACAGTGACTTCGTGGGCTGGAAATCATGAAGCCCATTGCTTATTAGTTACCCTGGTGTTAAGGAGGCCTATGGCCCTGAGCCAGCTGCTCGTGGGAGATGCTTCCTGGGACCCTAACCTGGGGGAAGGTGGTGTGGAGCTAAGTGCTACAACTTCCTGAGAGGACAGCAGCCCAGGCAGACACCAGGGCTTTGAACCTTTCAGAGCCACTACTGTCCCATTCAATCAGCAGTCCCTCCTTGTGCTGAGAATCCAGCGCAACCCAGATGTGAAGTGTGTTGGGGGTAGGAAGCTGCCCCCAGGAGCTGAGGGAAAAGGCATTTTTTCCCCTGTCTGTCTTCAGCCTCATGAAGGACATGGACTGAAGCAACACGGTGAGCAGGGTTCTAGTCCTCTCTCTGCTCTCCAGAAAGTCACACGTTTAGTCAACTGTGCAGTGGTTCTACTCAGCCAAAAGTAAGGCAAAAAAACAAAACCAAAAACCAACCAAACCAAAAAACCAAACCACTTTGTTCCTAAACATTTAACAACTGAATGGCCACTCAAACATCATCAGACTGTTCTAATCACTGTGCTAGACTGGTCGTTAGGAGTCACAGGTTTTAATTGCAGTTCAGCCATCAACAGGATACGAGGTATTGACTGGCTCTGCCTCATTCCAAATGCGTCCAGAAAAGAGAGATTAATAAAAGGTGAAAATAATTTTGTCTAGTTAAATTCTATCGTTAATGCCTCTTCTCTAAAAGTTTGTGTGAGGCGAGACGAATTATACAATTTGTTCCTCTAATGTGTGCTCTAATTGTTTTCATTTGGGTTATGGCCAATCAGAACCACCTAGAACCACTGCTTTAATGTGAATACCATTCAGACAAGGGACAACACAATCTCCATGATATTGCTAAACGGTCATCAATTATGACCACGACAAACAGAACATTCCCTTTGATACATTCAAGTGGTGGTTCCTGTAGTCCACTGGTCATTTGATATTAAGCCCTTCTCTCCTTTTAAGAAATCCTGGTTCATATGGTCATACTCACATTACTATGTGGAAAGTTCTATTAAAAAACAAAAAAAGTAGATCAGAGACAGAAACCATCAGAGAGTGAGCCATGTTAATTTATTGGCATAGTCAATTTATCAACAGGATAGGTAGTTTTGTCCCCAGGAGGTGAGGGTGATTTCCATCTGCCGTAACGGGTACCCACATGCCTTTGCCTTGAAGACTCAGCAGTTCATGCTTCAGTCAGGTTCTAGGAAGAAAAAGGAAAATGTAACAGTAGCTAGCTTATTGAGTCTTCTTCACATCCATCATGAACAAGAGAACCTACTTGCATCTCCCTGCAGTACAACTGTGTCAGCAAACCACAGTGGAGATATGAGCCTGGGCTCCTGTGGGCACAGCCCGCAGCAGGTGCATCCTTGAGTAAATCACCTCACTGTGACAGAAAAAGCTTTGCCCTCAGGCACTATGATCCCTGCCCCCTGCCCCCTGCCGACAGGCTAGGGTTTTCCCTGTTGCAGACATGCCTAGCCAACCCTATGGCTCTGACAAAGTCATAGGAGTCAGCTGAAGCCTGACACAGTATGACTCCAGGCAGGTCAAGGGATGTCCTCACTAAGCTCACTGTGGAGAGCATACAGCCCAACATAATTCAGGTTTTACAGTTTAAATTCTGAGATTAAACACAAAGACCCCAGAAGAGGGGCTCAATTCAAAACCACTGCATCTCCTGGTTCATAAGACATTTGTTAATTCAAGATCAAAATGAGAAGTGCTTCGGGGAGAGTTTCAGTCAGGCAAACTGCTCATGAGCATGGGCTTTGGAGCATGAATGTCATGGCTGTGCTACTGCAGGCTTGATGCTTTTTGTAAGCAAAAGCAAATGAAATCTGAGGACCATCTCTCAGATAACTTGCTTATCTGTGAAGCAACAATGTAAATAAAGCAGCTGGGAGATCAAATCAACCTGGAGACCTGCAGTCTGACTTCACCAGCTGCCTTGTCATGGCAGAAGATTGCAACCTTTTACATGGCCAACACCTCTGTCCAGGTAAAATGAGCCGGATTCTCTGAAAGCACGATAGATTCAGCAAAACAGGACTCATCTAGTGTCAGCAGCCCTTCCTGCTTAATGAAACAGCAAGACCCTGCCTGGATGTGGGCCCCGGATGTTCAGGAAGGACACTAGCAGCTATGGGGGGGGAGGGGAACAACATGCAAAGCATGTTCTGCGTTTCTCATGCTCTAGACCTATTACATAACTCCAATAGCAATTACAAAAGGGAAAGTTTATCCTTCCAATTATTTGATTTTGTGCAGATAAATGAACCAGGTTTAATTAAAATAAGACGGCTTTCTATCTCAGGATTGCTAACTGCACTGAAAATCAATGTGCCAATTATTCTGCTTGTCAGGGCTGTACAGGGCACTCTTTCATCATGCCAGGGGACGTCTATAACCTGCACACTCTCAATCATCACTGCCAAGAGGCAGAGGCTCAAACTAAAGTTTTGAGTTTTGGTTATGGAACTCTTAAAAACTTGAAGAGGTGACTCCTCTACAAGCCTGTGACTCACCAACTACTCCTTCTTCACTTTCACGGTTTTTATGCTGCTGCCGGCGGTCTTCTCAGCGTTCGCTTTGAACTCGGTCTTCAGGGCATCCCTCACTGCTTTTGCACAGATCTGGGAGAACCGGATGTAGCTGGCAAAGTGAGAGAGGATATGAGGCTGGTTACCAACAGTGAGACGGTGGAGTCATTGGGTGTGATACCTTGGCTTTCCTTCCATACTCTTAATTGTAGCTAGTTACTCACTATGGTAAAATTGGATTGAAAACTGGGTGATGCCAAAAAGAACCTATACAAAGGAAACAATGAGACATGGGGCCCCCAGACTATCTGGTGCTTGGCTGGGAGATCATAATTCTTGGTAGTGTATCTTTTCATGGCATACTAATTTAAAATGAAGGATTTAAAAAAAAAAATTCCACAATGTAGGAAACTGAGCAAAATGTAATCAGAGTTTGCATGTGAATGATTCCCTAGCTCATTTCTGTATTGTTTTAATTACCTTATTCCTACAACACACACACACACACACACACCACACTTGTGTGTGTGTGGTGTGTGTGTGCATTTATGCTTAGAAAGAAAACTATTTTGAATTAAAACAGTGCTTTCTATGGTCAATTATTTAAAGGCATTCCTGAAAATATTGGCTTTTTGCCTCTTGTGTATCAATGAAAATACCTAACCAAGGTTTCCAAACTCAACTAAAAGTTCACAGGGAATATCAACTGTAGCAAAGGGGGGTTCAGAGGCAAGCTTCCTGTTGTCACTTGGTTCAGAGGCAAGCTTCCTGTTGTCACTTTTCACACTCTCTGAAATCAGGGATAGGGTGCTGGCTGTTCGTTTCTCCTGCTTTAGAGTTTGTTTGAGGATGGGGGGCTCAGGAGCAAAGGGTTTAACCTTTCTGTTTTGTATTCACCTCAAAACAACGGAATGAAAATAATACCTGATCTGGAAGGGGGTGGGAGGAGGAAAATGAGGTATGCAGGTGTCTGGAAGCCATGGGAGGCAGTTTAATGTGTGGTATCTACTGTGAGCCTAGCATTCTTTTGTTCTATAAAACTTAGCTTGAACTGTCAGGGCACTGGGAACTTCAGGACCTTCGGTATGATCTTCAGGAAGGTGTCCCTCCACCCAATGGGCTCACGAGGTTTACTACCTGGAGCCAGAAAAGCAGGCATCACACCTAGCCTATGGCTCCCATTACAGGTGAGTGCTCACATGAGCTCTTGCGAAGCTCTCCACAGTTTAAAGAGGCCGCTTTCAACTTTCATCCCGACTGGGAAAGGTCACTAGGGTCACACTTGAAAATGTGCTTGTGCGCCCCTCCTTCTGTACAGGTGAGAAAGGCAAGTTGTCAGCATGGCCAGCCCGAGGGTCCTCACAGAGACCATGCAGGTACAGCAGGCTTCCTCCCGCGAGGAGCGGGCCACCTCTGTTTGGGGTCCGTGACCCCATGACCCCGCGGCATGCCTTGTCCACGGTGACGCCATCTTGGCGGGTGGCCTTGTGGCTGGCCGGGCCTCCCCAACGCCTCCCGAGCGTACCTGAGTCCAGCCTGTCGCCAGTATGCCACCATGGTGTCTCGAGCGGAGGGAGCCTGTCGGAAAGAACTTTTGATCGCTTCAGGGTCTCCTCAGCCCGGCCCGGCCACAGGAAGGTCAGTCCTGAGTAGCGGAAGGGGTGGAATAAGCGGACTTGCCAGTCACTGCCTAACCCCGCCCTTGCCGCAGTCGGGAGCCAATAGGAGCGCGGTCTCTCCAGTCCATTGGCCGAGCCGCTTCCGGAAACTGCGGCCGCGAGGAAACCTGGGAAAGAGAGGCAGCTGCGTCCTGCTCAACTTCCCAGGTGCTGTGGGCAGAGGGCGGAGCCTCCTTGAACCCGTGGTCAGAGAGACAGCCAAAGTCAACAGGAACTTTCCTTGCTCAGGGTTCCACGGGGCAGGTGGGACATTTGTACTTAAGTAGCCATTTAGGACGGAACCACATTGCAAAGTAAGAATGGAGCAGGTGTGATTCCTAAAAACCACACCAGACATTTTGCCCATCAGTATTTAGTAGTGTTCGTTTGGCTGGACTATTATTCCACTTGTCAAAAGTATCTCCTTAGGGAAAAACAAAACAACCTGATTTTATAACTGTTCAAAGAATTCTTAAACTGAGCAACCTTTAAAGCAGGAACTTAAAATTTTGTGTGCATGCTAACTGGCCTCTCCAGGAAAACCCAACTAGAAGCCCCATCCCATAAAAGACAAAAGGCAGTCATCAGTTACCAGACAATACTATGTGCATGAAAGGAAACACCATATAGTGACTGACAATCTTTCTGCTTTCTTTGCAACCACTGCAATCTCCTAGGAGATCCGTCTAGGCAACATTTGAGCTGTCTCAAATGCTGGACAGCTCTTCATGTAAAAAAAGAAAGAAAAGATGTTTTGTGGTCATAACTACCTGGAAAAGTAATTATATTTAAAAAACCCGACACGTCAGCCTTAGCAATGACAAACCATGCTTCTGACATGTGGCAATCAGAAGTAAATACGAAACGCGGCAGGGTGTGAGCGGCTGCTCTTTGGTTTCAGTGCTGTTCAGGAGTGATGTGACACTCACGTAATGACTTTATTTTTTCAGTTAACACAACCAGCCCACAGTACAGCATGCAAAATCACAAAGTACAAATTCAAGGAAGGGAATGCCTTTACTAAGTCACAAAATTTGGCCAATCAATACAGTACCGTTAATACAATAAAATGCTATTTTTGCTGGAGCCATATATTACCTTAGTGCTAATTTTCACTCCAAAAATATCATTCAAGTAACAAATCCAAGCACTGGTTTCCAGCAGGCAGGTTATTTTATACAAATTAATGTCATTTGAAATTATACAATTTCTCTTTGAAAAATGAGTTCCTCACACAGGCAGTTCTGTTTTACAGCAGCAGGAAACTGTGTGGATGTGAGGGCGGCTGGGCTCTGTTCTGGTTGGTCCACAGCCAGGTAGTGTTCCAGTATCTGGAGCTTTAAGATTCTACCTAAGACTCCAGATCAACACCAATTTCTTCTAAGTACTTAGGAAACAGCAACAAACAAGCCCATTAATTGTTTGAATAAACACAAGACTTTCCCGGTCAGTCTTCATAAACCCTTCAACCTCAGATGATCCCTTTGATTTAGAAGCTCTGAATCTTTTGTTTTGAGCAAAAGTCATAGCTTTCCCCCAGCTCATTAAAAAAAAAAAAAAAAAAAAAAAAAAAAATCTACTTAAAATAGTTGTATCTTTTAAATATCAAATAAATATGATGTCAGCTTGAAGAGTCCTGGGGGCCCTGATGCTGCACACCAATTTCCATTGTCATTTTTCTACCAATGCTGCTGCCGCCGCCATTGGTGTCCTTATGCTTCCTCTTGCTGATGCTGTCAACTCTTCAATCTCAGCGTTCAGTTTATGTATCACCCATTCCATTGCTTCTCGGCCCTTAAAAAGTGCAATGCATTTCTTGTTACCAAAAGCAAAGGTCTGTGTGAAGTAAAGGCAACCGCAATAAGGAGGGGTGTTACAGGCTAACTAAACCCCAGAGACAGCTCTCTTGTCCTTGCTTTCTTTTCAGTTATTATTTACCAAATACCAAGTGCCTTGAGCAGTTGGCTTGGTCCAGAAACCATTTATTTTGTATGCAGATGTTCTCAGAAGAATGTACAAGTGAGTGGCAGGATGTCTTGTTGACGGAACAATTAAAGTGGTCAAGCCCCTTTTCTTTTTGTACCAACACTGTAAATCAATCGTGTACATACCTCCAGAATCTGGTTCTTGACCCCCCCCCCACTCTCCTTCACCCTTTTCCTTCCTGAGGCTCTACAGTTCCTTAGTTCCTTCAGGAACGATGGAGCACTTCATGCTTCCTGTTGGAGGGCCTTTGCATGTGCAGCATCCCCCCATACTGCTTGCACCAACTCCTTCCCTCTTGGCATCTGGCAAAAACATCAATTACCAAGCACTCACTAAATACTCATGCCTGCCTTTACTTTTCCTTTCCTAGCAGAATGTATTTGATGCTGCCTTCTTGAGCCTTGTGAGGGCAGAACACATCTGTTTTGCTGACTGTATTATCTGGAGTATGCCTAAACGGAATGAGCTGATGAAATACGTTAAAGAAACAATGTGTCAGGCATCTTTCCCCCTAACTTACTGTTTTAACAAGGGGGTGTTTCTCAATGGAGTAACAAGTCAGGGAGGCATGTGAAAAATTCACTATTTTATATACAAGACACCTATGTGGTATATGCATCCAATAATTTCATAGTGGTAATCAGAAGTAAAAATATCTAAAACTGGTGAGCATCTCGAAATAGTGCCAAAGAACAGCACTTTTAGCAGACATACACAGCTGTCCATCATCCAAGCATGTCTGCAATGGGACCTGGGCTGCATGGCTCATGTTCTCTCACTTCATGGATGACGCTGAGGAGTAGAAAGGCCCCAAGGTTGCTATCAAAGCTGGGTGTGAACAGACATGTGCTGGAACTCCACAACCTACACATCACTGCCCAGTGCTCTGCCTCTTCTTATAGAGCAGCCCAGTTGGCTCAGGGGACAGGTGCATTCAGCACAAGCCTTTACAGGCACTGAACCTGGGTGGTGAGTACTGAGACGGTGAGCCACCCACTTACTTTGTTAGCATTGGAAGATATGGTGCTTGCCATGAGTCCTTCAAGGTAGCTGCTGAGGCTGACCCCTTTTACAGTGATGATGGCTTCCTGTGTCAGGACAGTTCTGGCAAAAGAACCCACAGCTTCAGATGACTCATAATTGATTTACAGAGAGCAACCCACCAAGAAAGGCCACGTGCCTTACTAAGTCAGGTCACCACCTGGCTTTACTTACTTCTCTGGGTCCTGGGGATGCGGCTTGTATGTGAGCCTCTCGTCTACTGAGACCAAATTTGTAAATGAGATCTACAGGGTGGAGAAAAAGTCAAGCCATTTTGGAAAACAAGATTAGAAAGATTTCCAAAACCAACACACAGCCCCAAATCTTATTTGCTAAACACACAAAACAAAAATCTTAAAAAAATAAACCATCTTGGGGCTGGAGAGATGGCTCAGAGGTTAAGAGCACTGGCTGCTCTTCCAGACGTGCTGAGTTCAGTTCCCAGCAACTACATGGTGGCTCATAGCCATCTATGATGATATCTGGTGCTTTCTTCTGGCATGCAGGTGTACATGCAGATAGACATTGCATTCATAACAAACAAACAAACAACTAAACAAACAAATAAACCATCTTGACATTACTGGGTAACTATAATTTAAATTTAAAAGGTGAAATTTAAATCTCATCAAACTTTTGTTTGGGCAGGGAGGTGGCTCTGCCAGTAAAGGAAGGTGTTTCCTTTAAACCTGCCAACCTGAGTTCTATTCCCACAACCCCAGGTGGAAGGAGAGAACGGACACCCACAGCAAGCTGTCTTCTGATCCCCCTCACATGGTTTCCTGACATTGCCCCTCCCAAACACTCTGAATGTTAAGAACTTAGGAAATGTTTATCACCCTTGTGCAGGATGCTGAGCTCCCTGTACTGAGTGGTGGCCTAAGGAGACAGGGCCATGCAGTGAGGAGGCTGCACAAGGTAAGCATCAGACCCAGGCATGCAGCACCTTCCCCCTTTTTTCATATTTATTGATTTTTGATTTTGTGGTGCTAGGGGATTGGACTTTGGGACATGAACATGCTGGGCATGTGTTCTACCGCACTCCCAGCTTTGAAACGAGAAAGAAAAAAAAATAAAAAATAAAAAAAGAGAAGAAAAGAGAAAGAAAGCCTCTTCTGCCCCAAGCAGCCTGGACTGCAATCTGTAGACCACTGCTTTGTACTGGCTTTCAATTTGTGGTCTTCCTGCCTCAGCTGGGATTACAGGCATATGCTACTATGCCCAGCCAGGTACTACATTTTGGGTACTGCCTTTCAACAGTGTATACTCATGCATGTTCCACTTGTAAGAAAAGAAATTTGAGGTCAAAGAGTTAAGAGGTAAAACAAAGCAGGCAGGACTCACGTTAGTGGACTTGAGCTCCATTGTCCTTTTTACTGGGTCGACTACAGAATGCTCTTGCACATATGTTTTCGTTCTTGCTGCACCAATAAGCTATGGGCAATACTATAGTTAGTAATCAGAGAGCTCCAGGCAAGCATGTCAATCTTTCATTTCAAGGTTCAAATGTGTTAATTAAGCTGAACTGACACCTATCAGTTCCAGTTCAAATACAGAGGATTTCAAGATTGCCGTGTGCTCTACTTGAGAACCTTCCCCAGAGGGAATCAGTAACCAGCTCACTGAGGCTGGGATGTTATACTCGCCAAGGTATGGCAGGGGCAGGAGATGGACATCTGGATGTCAGAAGACCTGGGGAAGCATGTCTATCAGAGTTCAGCACTGACCAGACTAGCTACTGTCTCAAGGAGCCCAAGGAGGAGCCCCATACCCCATTATCTAGATAAGAAAGCAGGCCTCACAGCTGAAGAGGGTAATACATTCATAGCCAGTACCCCTCCCTAGGTGTGTCTCAAGCCCACCCTCCTCTGCTGTGGTAGAAAGCAGGCTCCTTCCTGTTCTGAACTGACGAACCTCTTCCAGAGAGACACAATGCAGAAACCTTGGTCTAAGCACTGTATCAGCTGTATTACCACCAACTGGCA